TTATTGACAGTTGGCAGTGCCACGAAAATACCGAAATATATATGGCAATAAATGGCCACAAGAATCCTTTAAAGTCAAGCAATGGAAAAGTAAATAAAACGCACTTTTTGACTTCCAGGAAGTAGAAAGCATTAGATCGCAAGCATCCGTTCTTAAAAATAGGTTTGAATTTCTTGCTAATAATTTACGGTCAAATGGTTTTGGTAATTAATAAATCTTCATCGATTTTGTTTCCGTAACATTTCTGACTGTAAATCAAAGTCTTTTGCTAAGATGTTATCCTTTACCATCAGTTTGGAAGCCTTAATCCATCCGAAAAAAGCCTGTTTTTTTAATCATAAAATTTCTATCATAAGTCAATTATTCTGATTTATTAAATTTCGGCTATATGTAAGCTTATTACGTAGAAATTTAAGTTGTTTAAGTTGTTATTTTTGAATGTAATACATATTGAAGTTTGTTTACTTTTTTTATAGGGCAAAAAACAAACAAATTATATTTGGTAGGAATAATAAAGGATAGTTAAAGAAGTTTAACCACACTTTCATAGATTGGCTGAGTACAAAGAATAAAATCCAAGACATGCACGACTTGATGGCATAAAACGATAAACAAAACATATATTACCAATGATCACTGCATTTTTTGTATTGTATTTAAGAGCCAGCCCATAAAGCCATTTCAAATTAGCCCGCCACATTCCTGACTTAATCTCCCTCTGAAACTGTCTTACATTTGTTGCCTCCATTACTAACCATAAATGGTTCAACTCTCAGCGAAAAAGTCATAAAACGAAAAAAACTGTTTGATTTACGTTCTTCTAATGATGCCTCACAACAATCAGCCACAATTGAGACCTAGAACAGAAATACCCTCGGCCAGCAATAAACAGAGGAAATCGAAGCCGCAGAGCTAAAACCGAAGCCCGCAAATCAACATCGGGGAATCAGAGAAAAAACGGCATTATCGCAGTCAGTTCGTGGCCTAAGTCTCGCTTTGATTGCCACAAAAAGGGGCAGGAAAACCAAAAAACAATCTGAAAAAAAAAACGCAAAGGAGAATACAGCGGTATTCAATACTCTTGGCACTATAAATTACATGGCCGGGCAAGAAATCGAAATCATGACCAGAGCTCCTCGTCTCGTCTCTGATTATGAGACTTAAATTGAGCGGAGCTGGTGGAGTCGAGCCGTGGAGGGAAGCGATCGCATTTCGAGTCATAAATAATCATAGTTGTGCCATTTATTATGACAAAATATCATTTGGACATTTGTTTGCAGCTCTGGGCCCTGCTCCCGGATCTCCAGCTCCTCCCGGCTGCTCTGCCTTATCGCAATTGCTGGATCTGCCTGGCATCTCTCCGTTTTTTTCCCCGGACTCGAATTGTTTGCACAATTTTCATTGCAATGTCTTTTTGTGCTGCGTTTTAATATAAATTATTTTTAACAATTTGCTGTGTGGCTCCTTCCTTGCCTCGTTCTTTTGCCGCTCCACTCCTCTTCAGTCCTATTTTTTTTTCTGAGGGCTCTTGTTGCGCAATCCGAGACTGGAACTTAAACTGTGGCTGAGGTCGACAATAAGGCCCAAAAAAAAGAGCAAGAAAGCTGAGATGGGTGGGGAAATGGAGAATTTTCAATACCCTGTAATTAAAAATTAAAAATTGGTGAATTTAAAATAAATTGCAACACTCCTTAAGCCTGAGCTACATAATCCATCAGTAAGTTTCAATTAAAATCTATACATTTTTTATAATTATCTTAATTGCTTTCTTTGTAAGTACTTTTTTTCTAAAAATTTTTTAAATATAAACTGTTTTTCATAACAAAAATGTATTAAAAAAAAACGCCCATGTTCCTGACTTTAAAATATGCTAACAATAAATTTGAATTTCCCCGTGAGGAAGGTATGTTTACAAAATAATAAATAAGTTGGGTACATTGATTTCCTGGCACTTTTAAAACACCTATCCATCCGGTTTCCCAGTAGCCCTTGAACTCCGGTTTGTTTAGAGTATAGGGCAGAACTTTTTACGGCCCCAGACGCTTCAGACCTCGGGCCCTTGACCTGAACTCGCCGACTTGGCGGCTGCAACCAAAGGCGCATTAATCTCAGCCAACGAATGTCAGGAATTGTGGCTATGCCGACAACTCTGAGGGGACTGGGAATGGACCACTGAAAAGTGTAAGTTTCATTTTGTTTCGTTTATTGCCGCCGAGGCGCAGTCGAACAATGTTCTTACCTAGCATTCCCAGTCAGCTGCAATGCCATGCAATTTTTGATAAGCCCACCTTCAGGTGGGACAAGAACTTTGAGGAGGTCCAGTGATGGGAAAGAAATGGCACCCTAACATGGCTATAAGCAAAAACAATACGCCAAATTTTGATAACATGTAGGAACAATACTTTCCAAAACAAAAACTATTAATAAAAGGTTAAGAAAGAACTCGTTTACAACAAAATACTTGTGGGACCCATATTAGATTTTAAAGAATCTTTATTATAAAAGAAGTTTAATAAAAGTATTATATAATTTATTAATTTTATATAAAATAAAGTACAGAGACAGCTATTTAGGTGGAAGTGAAACTTGCTATATACCAGCCATTACTGGATAGAAACCTATCGTCTATCGTCCTAGACAACCAGCCAATGTCAACAGAATTCCCTGCAGTTTGCGGAAAGCGGCAAACAAAAAACAAAGGAGGCCTCGAGAGTCGCGATTCATTTCGAATCGCCTGGCATCAAATCGAGCTGAATTGCTCTCAACTTTCGGCTCCAGACTCGGGTCTTTTGTGCGAAAAGTTCACATTGCCTGGGGCCAAACATTGTCATGATTATTATTTATGGCCAATTCTGACGGAGACCTGAGAGTCGGCATTGCGATTGCTCTGGGATCTTCAGCAATTGATACCAGGAAGTTAAATGAAGTTTAAAACAGTAATGGTCGGCTATGCAATGATTTAAATGATTTTACTAGTTTAATAAATATTATCAAAAATATTCGACCGACTAAAACAATAACTAATACAAATTGTAGTTAAATAATAGTTGAATGTGACCTTCAAAATTGTATTTAGTTATTATCTTAATCATCATAATTAATCATATCAGTTTAATTAGGGGATAGTACAGCATACAAACGTTATTCGCTCTTGTAAGCTTATTAAATTGATTGTCTTTAAATCGTACTAGATGCATATCTCATTGCTGAATTTACACAGATTATTTATCGTGATATTCTTATTAAGATATTAAGCAAAGGCATCTTGTAGTGCAATGCCTGGCTTGCGCCCTCCGAATTCGGAATACGAACATCTCGTCTAATTAAAATTTACAGCATTTTAAATGCTCGAGGAGCAGATGCAGCCTCCTGCTGGGAATGCCTTTCCCCCTCATCCTCGCTCATGTTTGATCTCTTAATGCAGCAATGCAGTTTAATTTATGCTACAGACGCAACTTTCCTCACCATTCCCTTTCCGACTTTCCTTATTTTATTTTTAAATTTGTTTGCACTGCCGCACGCGCAACATTTCAATGTCAGTCCCCCCATTTCCACTATTCCATTATCCCGCACTATCTCCCTCTTCAGCATCTGCCTTATGTAACAGACGAGTGGAGTTTTCCTGCAGTTTTCCACGAGTTTTCCTCCATGGCAGCCGCTTCGTCACCTTCTGATTGTGCGGCGTTATTTTCGTAGCACTTGAAATCCGCTTAATTGGTTCCTCATCTCAGCTCGAAATAGTCGACCCCCGCCTTTGGCAGACCCTCTATTTCGGGGATTCCGGCGCTTCACCCTTTGGTTATTAATATTTACAACCTGGCCAAGTAATTTACAACAGTTATGAGCCAGCTTGAGAGCAGGGCGTTAATAAATATTTGAAATTCCTTTTGAAGTGCCCGAGTGAAGGGGCGATATTGTGAGTCAGCAGCCAAATGATTCGGAATTGTTGTGATATGTACTTATTTTTGTTTATTTCAATCGATTGGAGTTGAACATTTAAATCAGCAGCCAAGTGGAAGCGTAGAAAGAAAACATGATTAATAGAGGAATATAGAAGCAAACTATTACTATTATTATAAAGCATTTTAATTTATAGTATAATTCAACAATGAATTGAACTCTAGTTCGTTTATGTTACTTAGAGCAATGTTTGAAGTCATTAGAGTAACCAACAAATATTACTGTAGTTAACTATGCATAACAATAACGGCTAATCCAAGTTTAAGCAAATAACTCAAACTGTGGTTCTGGTGATTCTGGAAGATTAGAGAAAGTCAAAATAAGGTAGAAAAGCGTTTCCCATGGGTGGATAAGGAAGAGGAAGCGAGCTGGGGCAAAGCTAAATTTATAATATCACGTCGGTCAGCTCGGCTTCTCTCTCTCCCCCGAAAAGAGCATGGAAAATTCTAAAGAAAAAGTCGGGAAAAACTTAAGCATGGCATGTCAATTGCAAAAAGGGAACGGGCTTAGGGGGAAATGCAGAACTTGAGGATGCGGGTGGGGCATAGATTTGGAAACCGAACTGCACGACTTTAGCGTTTTTTGATGAATGCTACGACAACAAAGCTGGGCAGAGGGGGGTATTTTGGGGGAAAGGCAAGACTTTTCAGTTTTCAGTTTTCAGCTTTCGGCTGCGACTTTGGGACTTCCACGGACCTCGCCTGATTGCTGAAATTCACGCGACTCGATTGTCCAACGGACTAGACAGACCCAGTCGCTGTCGGATGGCCAGAGTTATGAGCTTTAGTTTTAGTTAAAAGAACTACGCTGCGCTAGCCCTCATAAACAAATTTCAGCCAGTTCCCCTGGCCAAGTCAATGGGAAAGTAATTTAAATGCAACGCCGACCGGGCAAATTGTGGCCGTTTAATGAGCGATTAGAGCGTCTGCGCACCAGGATGATGATGATCATTATGATGATGATGATGGCATGGAGGCACGATACCAGTTGAGGAGCAAATGCAGGCTGTAGTTCGAGGGACCGTTATGATTAGAAGTGGATTGAATGCAAAAATATATTGGCTTACTAGATGGGCTACAATCTATTTTAAATAACTAGGAAATGTGCCCTGTAAATTATTTTGTTACCAAGAAAAACTTTAATGTAGTCAGACAAATAACATTTTCTTTCAGAACCTCTTTTTTGTAAAAGAGGGATTGACTTCATCGATTTCTTTGGAGCAAGACATCAAACATTTATTTATCACACAGCTGAATTAGCACACCGAACCAAAACTGGGAGTGATAATAGCTTGGCACCATTTTGCACCTAGAAAAAGTTGGCGTTTAGACTGACACTGGGTATTCTAATTTTGAAATCTTACGATCAAGCGGAAGACCTTTGCGATTAATTCTATATTCTCTCGGCATCGGATCTCTCGGTCTCTGGGGTGGTCGTTGTTGAGCCAGGACCATTCCCACCAGAGAAAGGAAGATTAGTAAAAGCTGCACCGATCGGTTAATTTTTAATTGTGTTGTACCGATATCCAGAACCTTCTTCTTGTTACATTTTTCGATCGCAGGTGGCTAAACGAATTAGATATGCTATGCCTTCGTCGTTTTAACAGTCATGCAAAGCGGGAAGCTAGTATATGTTTTATTTTAATGAAATTACAAAATGAAACTCTATAATTTTCAATTATATATGCTTTTTTAATTAGTGGAAGGTTAGCCTTCAAATACGATTTGTAGACTCTACTATCTTCTTTTTTAAGAGTTTTGCATGCATTCTTAATGGGCCCTTGCAATTCCTTCACGACACTGGCTCATTATGCTAATCGCGATGTGCAAACCTAATTGAACTTAAATGGAAACTCATAAAATGCACTCCAGACCCCTTTTTCCCTTGCCAGCGAACTGTGTTTGCAACCAAGCTCATTGAAGCCGCCACTTTGCCAACTGACAAGTCGGGCTAAGCCCACGCGATTAGTCTGAGGGAAAAAAAAGGAGGAGGGCCGTGGGTAAATGGAACCAGAACGAGCCCAAAACGCCACTCGAGTTCACAACTCAACTGGAGTGTCAATTAAATTAATATCAATTAAAAGCGGCTGCAACTTGTTGCATTAGCTCTTTAGCTCTTTAGTCTTTCTTCTCCGGTTGGGAAATTATGCACACGCCATCGGAGCCGCCGCCTCCGCTTTTTCAAAAACGGGAGGTGGGAGTGGCACTTAATGAAGGGTTGACTAGCAGCAGTGCTGGAAATTTAATCAGCCATTTCCTGAAAAAAAAAAATTAAATAGCTGTGCCCATCTACAAATGTAGATAATTTAGACTTTAAGCTTGAAGTCATTAAAAAAGGGGTTTATTATATGTTTATCTCATACTTAAAGAAAACATTTTATTTAGATATGGAAAATATCCAACCATAAGCTTCCCCAGCTTAGTACATAATTAAAGCTCCAATATGTGATATGTGCATTCTATGCCAGCTAAAAACTACTCCTTAGAAAACCTGAATTTAGATACCTTTTTTGCCTGTGTACCTGTCTCATTTTGTCAACGTCAGCCAGGATTAATAGAGCGAATGAACAGTGCAGAAAGCAGAAGGGCGCTTCGAGCTCGGATCAGCGCTTAGCTGCCAAAGTTGCAAAAAACGCTCCCGTGGGTGAAGTGTCACAAAATTTGCACGCAAACGCGGAAAGCCACATGGCAGCAGATACGTTGAGTGTATGTTGAGATACAGATGCAGATATACGGATACGACACTGGAGCCAAAGTTGAAGTCGGAGTTGAAACTCCAGCAAGGGATATAGTTTGAGAGATGTCTGGCAAATAATAGTATGTTGACAGTCACTGCCAGAGGTGAGTATTAAAATGGTTATTAATTTGGATTTAAGCAATAATTTATTGTGTTCATTAAATGGGAAACACCCATAAATATATACTCCGTGAAACTAAGTGATGTTCTCATTTTCGGATACTTAGTTTAATGTTACAAAATATGTAGCATCCATAAATTATATGTAGCGTCTTTCCATAAATTCCACATTTATATAGAAAGACGTACACTATGCCGTCCTGGTTTAATATGCAACTTTTATTATTTAGCTATCTATCTATTTATTTTCTTTTATTTTATTATCTTTTTTTAAGCTTACAAAATCTAGCTTAGACATTCTCATGTTTATTTTGGCATGCAGCTATGGCAGTCACCGTGATCTCTATCCTTTTCATGGGCATCACCATCGGGTGGCGCACATGTCAGTGAGTATTGAATATAGCCGCTGGCTGGATGGCTGGCTGACTGGCTTCTTCAGCTGTATCAGCTGCCAAGGTTGTTGCTAGGAAGGAAACAGCAGCCAAGGCAGAAGCACTCCCAGTTTCCATCTCACAGCTCCCATCTGTCTCCGAGTATCTTACGCACGCACACGCATCGCATCGCATCTCCGTATTCAACATCCCAGCTTCCCAGCTTCCCAGCATCCAACATCCGTGACAGAGTCAAGGAAATGTGCGAAACTTGGGCACTGGCAAATTTATAGCGACAAATGTTGACTTGAGATACGACGTCGAGAAGGGAGAGAACTGACTTTAGTCGGGTAGCTGCCTGCTCAAATTGAATGTCAATCGATTTTAGTTTTTAATTTAAAAAACCGCGCCTCGTTTTTGGTCCTCCGCTGGGATGCCTTGTAATTTGGCCTGGCATGTGTGCACTTGAGCTCAGTGATGGGAAGGTATTATTTTCCCTTGCATAAGACACAAACTGTTGAAAAAAGGTCAGTGGGTAAGAAACGGTTTGGTAACTCATTAAAATAGATTCAAAGCCTATAGTTTGTAATAAAAAAAATGCTGTAAATTCAGTTTTTATATAACAACTGAAATTATATTTTATTTATGCAGCTAACAATTATTTAGTTTATGTAGTATCTAGGTATGATGCTGCCCATCTCTATCAAAAATTACATGCATCTTTTAGATACTTCGAGACGAACGCTTGATTGCAGCCAGTGGGCGTGGCAATCAGGCACTCCAGAGATTTTCCACCCGAGAGCCAACGGTAAATGACAGTCGGGTAAATGCAATCGCGATGGGTGAGAAGTGTTTATTTGACAAGCGAACGAGTGGGAGCTGCGATTCTGATGGCCGCGTAGTAGCACTCCTCTCTGAGCCTATTCAAATAATGGTCCGCTAATTGTTTAATTGATAACCAGGCAAATCCCACCACAAACTTGTCTCGCATTCTCAATGCGGTCTGTCTGCAATTTGTGCAAATTGCACGCACATCGAAAGCATTCATGGACCATTCCCCCACACATATCCCATTCCGCCCATTAGACAGTATATAAACATATCAACACCTGTTATGGCAGATGGGCAGAATGCGCCAGGTAAGCCCACTGCAAATATTGAGAATCACTGGTCTGTCCGCCCCTGCAACCTAAATAAGTTTTATTTGCTTGATTTTCGCAGCTCAGGGTTATGCAAAAATGTCGCCTGCTGATGTGTTCAGGTGTGTGTGTCCTATTCAATCAATGAGACACGTTGACAGGGGACGGCGGACAGGACACTTTCATGAGGTAAAAACGGACCACGGTCGTCGTCGGTGGATGTGGATGTGGATGTCAGGTGGGCCTGGCTCTTAATCCCGCACATTGGCCGTTTGTCGCGTGCATAAATATTTTTACTCAACTGCAAAAACCGTTTTCTGAAAGTTCTTCTTGATCAATTGCAGAATCTTGAAATATTTCCAAAACTGCAAATTTAATGTTTAGGAAACTTTGAGACCAATTTTAAACTATAAAGCCGTATTTAAGAATTCTTAAAAGTTGTATAAGAATAAACAGGACTTATATAATTGATGTATTATAAATAAGTCATTAATCAATGTTTCAATATCTATCTCTCTTTAAAATTCTATGAATAAACTTGCAGATGTGGTGCTTAAATAATCTTATTGTTAAAATCAGTTTAGTATCTTATAAGTTATATTATTTTTCCTAGTTATTTCACAGGCTATGAAATATTTGCACAGTGTTACGTCAACTCAACTACCTAGCCGCCCTTTGTGTCCTCTCTTTTGCAGCTGCATTGTCAATTTCACACGCCAGTTGGTCTGCTCGTTGTTATCCTGGTCCTTGGTCCTTGTTCGCACCCCCCGCCCGTCCTTTACCACCCCCTCAACCCACTAGAGTGTATTTTGTTATTGCTAACCATTCGTGGCACGTTCAATTGATTGAATTGAAGTCGCGTCGTAGCGCTCTCATCGCAGCGGAATGGAATGAAGCACAGAGAAAAATTGTGTCCTTTTTGGGAAAATATTAAAATAGTACATTTTTGTTTGTTCTATTAATTTCCTTCTTATACAGTTTTTTTAATGCTCTTTGCTTATAAATTCAAGGAAATGTTTAATTTTTGTATTTTTGGTAAGTACAAAACATTTTTACTCGAGGTAAATGGTAAATGGTATGGTATGTAAATGCCTGACTTAATCCATTAAAACCCTAATTTTGCGCAGTGCAGCGGGCTATTGTATGGGCGGAAGGGATGGAGTATGCTGATGTCCTTTCAGTGTTATTGTTATTGTTGCCTAGGCTTGTTAGGCTGCGTTTGTTTTTGCTGCCCCTGTTGCCTCGATCATATGTCCCTGCCAGCTGTCTCTTTCTTCCCATCTGCAGCCCATCTCCCTCGCTCCGTCATGTAACAATTATTCAATTTGATTTACTCTTACTCATCCCCCTCACCATCCCCATCCCGCTCACTCCCATTGTTTTCCTTCGCCGTGTCCCTTTCTATCGGGCTTGGCACACTGTTGTTATCACACTTGAATAGCTGCCAAATGTGTCGCCCATTGGCGGCGTTACAGTTTACACCTGTTTTCCCCGCTTTTCCTCCCCCCTGTGGAATGGCATCCCCTCGCAACCGGAAGTCCGTGCTCCTCTAACGGAAGAGAATTTAATGCGAGTGCAATTTGGACAACCGCTTTAGCAGACGGCCATTAACACCTTTCGATGCTGATTTTACAGTTGTGCACCAGGATTAAATCAATTAAGTTTATGTGGGGTAGGGAATGTTTATTTAGATTCAGCTTTTGGGAATTGAATTTATTTACATATAATATACATTTAGAATTTAAGAACTTTTATATAATATTATTATTTTTCTAAACACTAAAAACTACTAAATATTATTTAAATAAAATCACCCCCCGGAATCCATTAGTTCAACTGGTGATGCCACTTTGCAGACACCTCACAACAACTCCGAATCAATCGTTTTATCCTGCCGTTTAGTACATATTTTACAACATCAAAGCCTCCCAGACGAGAGTCCCTTTGGTTGCAACCTCATCTGAACCTTAACAAATAGCAAGGAAAATTGCAACAAATGTGTTACGAATGGTTCGTGATCGTGGCATGACAGAATGTCGCCGGCAACAACAGCAATAGCGGGCTGAACTGGAGAATTGTAGACCAATGAGGAAATCGTTACCTTGGCTTAAACCACTTAAACATCACGAGTTGAACTCTTAACAGCCTGGGACTGCCGACCAAACTTGGGCCGTTGCTGGGAGAAGACTTTTGTCGCGGTCCACTGATGTTGATGAGGAGGAGATGACGACGACGACGACGACAACAAAGAAGTTGACAACAGCAACAGCCCAACAGCAACTGCAGTTACACTCAGGAAAACACAAAGCAATACCGAATTAAAGCACAAGTTACATTACAAAGCTGCTTCTCTTGTTCCACTTCATTTCATTCATTTTAAAAGTAACAAAAATATATATTAGCTAAAAACAAACTTTTAAAAATAAGATTTTACATCCATACAAAGAAACCATTGAAATGCTGGCGTAATGGAAAATTATACTTTTAAAGTTCAAAGGTAGTAACACGTAGATTTGTTTTTGTAAAAGTCGGAAGCCACTTGACTATTGTGAGTCAAAGTCTGACAAATTGTGATGACTTTTTTCGCAGTGCAGATTAGCCGCGTTGATCAGATGCAGGGAGCGGAAATGGGAACGGGAACGGGCAATTGGGTTTTTGGTAGCTACGGGCTGCTGAGGATGCTTGTTTGTTGTTGTTGGCCGGGTATCTGTATCTACAGCGCTGGCCGATTACAACGTAACCAAGTGTTGTAAGTTGGAGCTGATGCAATAAATCGCTAACATTGTCCGAAGTTGTTGCCGCGATTGTGATAAAACTAAATCGCTGGCAATGCTGCGACACGATCTGCATTCCCTAAAGGTAGTCTAGTTCTAGGTTTGGTAGCGCCATCATTGATATATCGAATTACATCCCATTCAAATTCCCTAATAGACAGCCTGGCCTTGTCCCACGTAGCGGCTCCTGCTGCTGTCTTTTCTTATCAGTTTCATAGGGCCAACACGTAGGAAAAGTTAACACCACGAGCCCGGGCGAAAACCCACCGAACTGTTTCCATTTCGCGTGTGTGGATGCGGGGGAAAACTTCTTCAAACCCCTTGGAGTTCTCGACAAAAACCCCAAAAGCGTTGCGTTGGCGTATTCTAAACTTTGCGCTACTTTTTGTCGTAGCTAAAGTCATTATCATTAAAGCCATACTTTGCTGCCAAAACTTTCACTTGGCGAGCGGGACGAAGCGGAGTGGAAAATATTGTAAATTGTATCTAACAGATACTTTATCGAGCCGAAACAGAAACTTCTGCCATTGTCCGCGAGCGCCAAAACTGACACACATGTGGGGATGGATACTCGCAGAACGGAAGGGCAGGGACTGGGAATTACATGCCAAGATAATGAGAGTATAACTGGGCGTGGCGGCAACTTATTCTTCGACTGCACCGACAACTTTTGCGAGAACGAAAAGTTTTGCGGCTCTGCTGCATGCTAAATTTGGGGAGAAAAGGGTGAAAAAAGTGTGTATCTCAGACAATCGAAACAGAACAGAACAGAATTAGAACAGACCCTCGGTATAAAGAATTTAATGCTGGCTAATAAATAAACCTGGTGCAAACAAAAAAAGGGAATTAAAGGGCTTCCGAAAAATTGTACGTACTTTTTATATTACTATCATTAGTTTAAAACCTTTTAAAACTCTAAGCTGACATAGCTCTGAATTTATTAAAAAATTAGTTGATAAATTGATAAAGGTATTGTATAGCCTTTTTTATTAATAAAACACAAAGGCAGATTTAATTTCGTTCTCTTTTGTTAAAAGTTCGGTAAAAATAAATCTTTGTAGCATTCCGCATAATAAAAAAAAGGTTTATTAAGCAATCAAAGCTTGGTTAAATATCTAAACTTATTAAATGTTTATAGACACTTTATCCAACATATTAATAAACTTATTTTCATATTTAGACGTTTAAAAAGTTTTTATAGTTGACTTGGCATCCGAGGTTCAATTAGTTCAACTAAATGAAAGTAGCCGAATATAAATATAAATGTATAGGCCAATTATTTTTCTATAACGGTGGTTATTTGTTGTACGAAAATCCACACACTATTTCAGCATCTACTTTCCAAATAAAAACCCTGAGGGGACACCAATTGTCACCTGGGAATATCTATTACTTGACGCCTAAATTAAATACAACCTTCGGGTACCAGGTTGTGGTGACGTTTATAGTCGATCTTATAGGTTTTGTGGCTTGTCCAAGTTTTTATTCAAATCTCAATCTTCGGTCTAGATTCATTGTGCTCCAACCACGCTAAGGATAGCCACTTGCAGAAATACCTGATTCTTTATTGTTGTATCTTATTATCGATCAAGTACCTGACTTTGTTTTAGAACTGTGACAAATTTTAAAATCGCCTGTTGATAAGTATATAAAATTTTTATAACTTAATGCAAGTTTTGGATAAGTCAAAATATATAATATAATACAAATCGTGACTTATCCCGAACTTAAAATAAAATCGAACTTGGTAGATTTATTATTATTTAGATGCCAGCAAAAGGACTTAAAGAGAACGACAATTTTAAAATGAAAACCAAGTAGAACCAAGTCCATTTAGGACTACCTTGACGTCTATCATTCGTTTTATGAAAATTGTTTGAGAATTTTCTAAATTCTAAAATAAAACAATTTAAAATATTATTTCTCAATAAATATGCGTTTATTTACTGCAAACACTATTTCAGTACATATCGACCCAATGCGACCTTGATCAGGAGGACACCATTAGATACATAGGCGTTAATCTTTGATCTTACGGCGGTGGCTGGAGGTCGGGAACGGGTTTCTGCCTTATATAGACCTCAATAGCCTTCTTTTTCCTTTTTTCCGCCGGGAACATTGCCACCAGGCAAAGGAAAACTACTAGCAACAGTACCTTTGGATTCATTGTTGCTCCCTTCTCTGAGCTTACCTTATTTTTATAGCCGTGATAATGTTTAGGATAAGTCACCATATCCTATGCAGTTTTCCTTTTCTAAAATTATGTTAATAAGCGAAAAAATAATTATGATACAGCTTGTAACAATATTATTATTCAAATGCCAGCAAAAATCTTCAAAAAGAACAACAAAAATGTTTAAACTAAAACACTGTAAACTGTTTGGCGCTGTATTATTTTCAAGCCTTTTGCAATCAGGTTGTAAACAGACAATAATCATAATTGAATATTATATGTTTTTAAACGTGATCAAATAGAAAGTGATTAAATTTTCAATATTTATCTGAAACAAACTTTCAGATTTGGTCACATCTCTCTTTAAACATATTAAAGTTGTTTACCATTTTTCTCAGGATTAAGGTGATGCAATAAATGCGTTGGAAAATCTGTCGAGGTATGGCCAAAGCTAACAAGCTCTCCTTGGAAGATATTTATACAAATTTCCAATTTGTAATAAAACAATTGCGGGCAAAGACTGAGACCTTAGAAAGTATTTCCATGCAAGAAAATGGTTGGCTGCTGGTCAATCAAGTTTATGCCTTTTGGTTGGCCAAAATGTGGCAAAAAGAAAGGCCCACATGTAGCTACAGAAAAGAGTAGGAAGGCCAAGGAGTGATAGATTTTCAGGCTCATTGTCCAGAGCAGAGCAGAACCAGCTGCAAGTTCTTCGCCGGCCTTTCACTCTTACAACTGCGGTTACCGGACCGTCGATTTGCATCTAAAAGTCAATGATTTCCATGGCCTGGGGCGCGATGATTACTGTGTACCCCTGCATGTTATTTCCAGTTCCCGAGCAAAGAAGACATATTGTGGTCATCGGTTTGTGATTTCCTGGGCCTCCTAGGTCTGGGTTAGAACTGGCACGGAACGCTGAATGGTATAGAGCTCTACCAAGATTTTTGATTACGTGTCTGTAACGAATTATTTGAGAGACCTTGACATATTAGATGTTAATCCGAAACCCATCGGTAATTTAAGACCTCAGAGTTATATAAGTCGGTAAAGTTGGAAATAGGTAATGTTAACTAAAACATGGTACTATTTATTTATTTTTATTTTATTAAATTTAACTCATTTTTCTAAAGAATAATTTTTAAAACATTTGAACGTAATATGGATGACTATTAAGAAGTCAATATATATACATATTATACAAAACTAAAGTGTGACAGTGGCCATAACATTTATAATCTTATTATAAACCTAGTTAAGTCTGTAAGCTATTTTTGATTCGGTTTGAAGCCTTTAAAAAGCGAGTTGTCTTGAATATATGTGCAGAAATGAAGTCATTGGCGATACTTTTGGTTCTTGTTTCCTTAGTTGGATTGGCCATGTCATGGAAATGGCCATGGGAGCCATCTACAAAAAAACCACCGATTAAGTTTCCAATTCCATCGCCGAATCCTCGTAAGTTTTCCACAGTGTAGAATCGAATGCTGAAATCTTACATATTCTTATTTTAGGCGATAAGTGGTGCAGGCTTAATCTGGGACCTGCTTGGGGCGGAAGGTGCTAAAATAATTTTCATAATTTTTTGAAATAAAAGAATATTGAAGGTAATGGAGATGCAGGTTGAAGTAAAATGATCTGATAGATTGTCTTTAATATTGGGCGGAAATGTAGTTAGTTTTGGCGACCTTTCCAAATTATATTAATTTTTAGCCGGCTCGAGGTCAGGGTGTTGAAAAAATATCACAATTTTATATTTGGTTTTTGTCGATATATTTCGGATGCTCTTCGGCAACCGCCTTCAGGACAACTATAAAATAATAACAACGATTTTAATGTTCTTAACAAACAAAAACAATTCACATTTAACATACATTTAATTTACACGTCGGCGTCCGGTGACGTGGAGTTGTTAGCTAAGTAGTAAATGTCTATATAAATGAGCGCAATTGTCAGTGTCCGTTTTGTAGTGCATCCGTACAGACGTGTTTTTATAATATGTAGCATTTCTATAGTAAATCGTTTGGCAAAGTGTTGTTCTTGTATTAAGATACTCGCCTCTTCGAAGTTCGGAGAATGATTATTCTTTGCACAGTGGGACATGAGTGCCGTTTTTTGCGTAATCGTGTGCTGTCTAGCTTTGAAGTCCGATTTATGTTGTTTTTAGTTTCGATTTTGTTGTTTCCATATATATCTTGTTGCATATTTCGTTGTTGTTGCCGTTACACGGTATTTGGGATAGCAGACTGCGTAAACTTTTCAGTAACTAAAGGTTGGCATGTAATATACCTCTGTCTGCAAGATCTCAACTTTTTTAATTTTCTGAAATAAACTGGTAAAAACACTTATTTAAGTTTTACTGAGTTTTTGATTTAAGATTGATAGTAATAAGTTTTTTAAAATTTTAGGTATAAATAAAGGTAAAATTACATATAAAATTAAGCGCACAGTTTCTATTTTTTTACAAAAACATTTCAAGTTGTGCCCAAGATTACACATTTAATTGTTGTAATTGTGTTTTCGCAATATATTAAAATCTGTACATTTTTTCAATAAATGTTATTTACTTACACGGCCGAGAATTGGAAGATACATTCATGTACACAATTTTTGCTGCCTAATTTCAGATCTAGACTTTTATTTTCCACTTCCGCCCAAACGTATACTATTATTATATTATGTATTGATTCAGTGGTGCAGGGGGTCTAAGACAAAATCACAACTAATTCCAGAATTAATCATTTAGGATTTCATATCGATTTGCAATTGAGAGACAATGACACTAACGGCACACTACACTGAAAACATCTAATATAAAGATATTTAACCAAAGCTTAACCAAGATTTCAGAGTTATATAAGGCGGTAAAGTTGGGTATAAGTACTGTTAACTAAAACATGGTAATATTATTGGTCATGCCGCTTTGAGTGGAAATTTGACATTGTCATAGACAAATTAAATACAAATAATTTCATTTTATTAAATTTAACTCATTTTTCTAAAGAATAATTTTTAAAACATTCGAACGTAATATGGATGACTATTAAGAAGTAAAATATAAAGTTTTCACAATAGCATCAGGTTAAAAAAATATGTCTTTAAAACTATTTCAATAAGAAGGTATCAAGGCTCCAAAAGATATTTGCGAGTTGAGTACGACCCTTTTCAATATATATACATATTATACAAAACTAAAGTGTGACAGTGGCCATAACATTTATAATCTTATTATAAGCCTAGTTAAGTCTGTAAGCTATTTTTGATTCGGTTTGAAGCCATTAAAAAGCGAGTTGACTTGAATATATGTGCAGAAATGAAGTCATTGGCGATACTTTTGGTTCTTGTTTCCTTAGTTGGATTGGCCATGTCATGGAAATGGCCATGGGAGCCATCTACAAAAAAACCACCGGTTAAGTTTCCAATTCCATCGCCGAATCCTCGTAAGTTTTCCACAGTGTAGAATCGAATGCTGAAATCTCACATACTCTTATTTTAGGCGATAACTGGTGCAGGCTACATCTGGCACCTCCTTGGGGCGGTAGGTGCTAAAATAATTTTCATAATTTTTTGAAGGTAATGGAGATGCAGGTTGAAGTAAATGATCTGATAGATTGTCTTTAATATTGGGCGGAAATGTAGTTAGTTTTGGCGACCTTTCCAAATTATATTAATTTTTAGCCGGCTCGAGGTCAGGGTGTTGAAAAAATATCACAATTTTATATTTGGTTTTTGTCGATATATTTCGGATTCTCTTCGGCAACCGCCTTCAGGACAACTATAAAATAATAACAACGATTTTAATATTCTTAACAAACAAAAACAATTCACATTTAACATACATTTAATTTACACGTCGGCGTCCGGTGACGTGGAGTTGTTAGCTAAGTAGTAAATGTCTATATAAATGAGCGCAATTGTCAGTGTCCGTTTTGTAGTGCATCCGTACAGACGTGTTTTTATAATATGTAGCATTTCTATAGTAAATCGTTTGGCAAAGTGTTGTTCTTGTATTAAGATACTCGCCTCTTCGAAGTTCGGAGAATGATTATTCTTTGCACAGTGGGACATGAGTGCCGTTTTTTGCGCAATCGTGTGCTGTCTAGCTTTGAAGTCCGATTTATGTTGTTTTTAGTTTCGATTTTGTTGTTCCCATATATATCTTGTTGCACATTTCGTTGTTGTTGCCGTTACACGGTACACGGTACACGGTATTTGGGATAGCAGACTGCGTAAACTTTTCGGCAACTAAAGGTTGGCATGTAATAACCTCCGTCTGCAAGAACTCAACTTTTTAAATTTTTTTAAAATAATTTTACCAGTTTATTTTTTAGTACTTTAAACTGAGTTTTTGATATAATATTGATAATAACTAATGCAGTCGAAATTTCTGTATTTCCATAAACTTTTTTAAATTTATTGGTTTAAATACATGTAGAATTACTTCTAAAATTGGGCATACAGTTTCTGTTACCAAAATATTTCAAGTTGTGCCCCAGATTACCCATTTAATTTTTATAATGGTGTTTTCGCAAAAATTTAAGAAAATATATCAAAAATCTGTAAATTGTTCCCATGCATTTTATTTACTTACAAGTCGTCCGTGTAAATGTAAGGTACATTCATGTACATAATTTTTGCTGCCTACTTTCTGAACTAGACTTTTATTTTCCACTTCCGCCCAAACGTATACTATTTTGATATTATATATTGCAGGGGGTCTTAGACAGAACCACAACTCATCCCAGAATTAATTATTCAGGATTCCATATTGATTTGCAATGCCTGACACACTTTCCGATCATTTTCTTTCTTTTCTTCTTTTGCGGCTGAAACAAAGACAGTAACACTTTACTGAAACCATCTTATATAGGGCTTAACAAAGAGTTTTCTGGCAAATTCGTTAATATTATTACTATATATTAATATTAAAAAGAGCGAATAAAATAAATTTTAAAAACAAAACAAAAACGATTTGGGTTAAAAAACACGAACGACAGTTGATTTAAAAGGAAATCAGTAAATAAAATATACCTTAATTTTATTATATAATTGGTTTTATTGTAAAAGTATGCCTTTTTGGTTTTACAAAAATTTTCAAATATATTTATAATATGTGTATTAATATATCTATATATATGTTTTGGGCATGGTACTTGTTCTGCACGTGCATGTTTGTAATTAGCAGCGCTTTATGTGTTGATGTTGCAGCAATTGCAGCGAGCGGTGGCATGCTGCTGACAAATGCAAAGCCATATGATGTCGACTGGCCTGTGTTGTCGTACAATGACCCACATTGTGATGCGCTTTTATTAGACACGCGAGGCGCAAAAACAAAGGGCCAACAATGAGTCCGGGAGACCAGAGTCGGGGCTTGAAGTCCGGACAATGGCCCAACAAGGAGACTATGGCGACAACAGTGCTGTCGCCATCACCGCGCAAACAAACGAAGACAATGCAAATGTGGCACACACCAGGACATCAGGACATTAAACTCGCACTTGGATTGCTAAAACTTAAAGGGCTTTTGACATTTCAGATGATATTTGTTCGATATCCATTTAATGCTAGGTATTGAGTTTCGCCCAAGTTGGTTTGATTACTTTTAATTCATTAATCGACTGACGAAACAGCACTTTGTATTTATTTTGTTTTGCAAGATGTGCCAAAATTTGGCACTTTTTTTTGATTGTGTTTTCGAGTTGGTGGTTTAACTTTAATCCAAAAAGTATGTGGGTAAAAGTTTCGATTTCACATTGCTCAATAATTATGTTTAGCAAAAACAATAAGTGTTCCTGTTCCATTTTTGTATCTTTATCATTTAATATAATTTTTACATTGAATTTTGGGTAAATAAATTATGTTCACAAACTAAACCCATAAATTGTTAGGTGTTTTTATCAAGCCCCTAAAGATCAATTATTATGACGTATATATAGACATATCCTTACTGGTAGCGTCCAATAAAGAAATTGTAAATAATAGTTGATAGAGGATCTTGCTATGACTTACTATATCCTAATCTTTTGAAGAACTTCGCTCCAGGATCTCAGAATGGCAATGGTAGTCCTTTGACTAATTCCCCCGCAAGACTATTCCACTCCGCCTGCTCCGAGGGCAATGTCATTTGCCCTTATAATTGCATTTCTGATTAGATGGCTCCCAGTCCCTTCGAGTTTTGATGTTGGTGATGACCGAGAGTGGGTGGGTGGGGTCGAGAAGGCTGACCAAGGCCTTTTAACCAATGAAACAGTTAGTCAGTTCCAGTTAGCCACAACAACAATCGCCATCATCATCATCATCATCATCATCAGCAGCATCATCAGCAGCAGGTCCAGAAGGACGAGGGGTGGTGGTACTGCCCCACATACCACAGACGTTAACAACCAACGACACATGCAACAAAGTGGGCCAGTTTACACCTGCAGTTAGTGTTTTCGAGTGGGTGGGTGGGGAAAAGCCAGGTCGACTACACAGTGTCACCTGTGCCGTGGCCTTTCCCATGTAATTATTTGTAATTTGTTTGCCCAAGTGCAGGCAAGCGGAGATTCGGTTGTTGGTAATGCAAACCAACTATCCTAGTTGCTCCTCCTCCTGTTTTCAGTGTGAGTGTGAGTTGGGAAGTGCTTAGTTATGGTTGTTATTGCGGCTAATACAATATAGAGGCGGCAGTATGACATGTTGGTTGTGCTAAATCGATAATGCCAACAGCTACTTAAAAGCCTTTCCGTTTGAGATATTGGACAATGAAGCAAGAAAGACCGGGGGAATGTAGACTTCTCGGTTGCTTTATACTTATATTTATATAGATTGATGATGGCTGACAGCGGAAGCGGAAATGTTTTTGCCTTCCGCAGACGGACATTAAGAAATAATTAACCCGAAATAGACAGCAAATCTGGAAGAAAGCCGAAAGCTTATTGCGCCATTGTCCATTGGCAGTGACAAAGAAAAACAAAGCGCCTTACGATCCATAAATTACCGGGGTGCAAATGGGGGAACCGTCACTAAGGGTGAAATAGTTTGCTTTAATGCACAGTAAACTATTAAGTCAACTTGTATTAAACTGAATAAAATTTATATGGAGTACTCAATTTACATATACAATATTATGATTTAATATTTAATACAATAGTTTCAATTATTATTATTTCATTTTACAATTAAAACCGAAAAAATCCATAGCGTTAAGACATCAGGAAGTTAATGTTATGTTTGTGCAGTGTTTATATCATTTATACAAATATATTATATTTTTTCTGAGTGCTTCTTAGACAAATGGGTACATTTTGAGTCTGGCAACCACCCTGACTGGAATATTTCAATTACGACCCCAAACCCCAAGCGAACCACAAAGGGATCGAACCCAAGCCCGCAGGCATATGCTCGCGGCCTGTCGTCCTTCGAGTTGAATACATTTCGATTAATACAAATTTGCTTATTTCCCTCTTTGAATGCAAATCGAATTATGCGCGGAATTTAAGTGGAATTTTCGTTTGGGGTGTGAGCGTGAATTCGGCGAAAATTTGCATCAATTTTTCTTGGCATTAACAACAGGGTGGCCGGGCTATGTAATGCAGAGCTATCTGTGCCATTATTGAGTTAATAAATCACATGCCAGCTTCAATTACCACAGCACGGCCATAATGCTTACCTCAAAAATGCCGATGACTGACAACTCCCGGCTTCGTCGATTTCGTCGATTTCGTGGAGATGCTCGAGGAGCTGAAATGTCATTACCAGCCACTTGAAATATTCGATTTTCTATTCAGATGCTAAATTTGCGTAATAACTCAGCCGACTTGGTCCTGTTTCGTCTCGTCTTTCGGCAATCTCGATTCGCGCTTGTTTGCCATTTGGTCGGGTGATGAAAAGGAAAGGAAAGTGGGCGTTGCCCTCACCGGAATCCTGGCTGAATGAATAGTGACTTCGATGGGCGTCTCGAGCATGCTGGCCCTAATAGGAATCGCAATGGAATTGAATTAGACATGCTAGGGTGACAGACAAGCGGTTTGCTGCTTTAAGTGCAAATAAGCAAAGGAATGACTGTGCTTCACATATTTTATCCCTCGAAAGAAAACCCTTATTTTTGTTGGCTTTTTTTGTGTTTTTCATAACCTTTTCTCCCTCGTGCAATCAGTTGCTGTACATCAACAATTTCGCTGTCAAGTATTCTCAAGAGATTTGAAACAATTTTTAATGTTGCTGTACACAATTTACTTCAAAATATAAGAACCAAAAGTTGGTTATCCTGATATTGCTTTCTTATCAAGTCAGACATACATAACACAAAGAAAATTGTATTAAGGGACATTATTCTTAATAAAATAGTTTTAAATATTGCTTAAATTTTTATTTTTAGTAGTCTCAGAACCATCTTGTGCTCTCTTGTGTTCGATCTTAATGAAATCAAATGTATTGTTCCTCCTATCCTTTTACTATAACGTTAAGAACGTTAAGTCAGCTATTTTAATCGATATTCTTTTTCCCTTATTTGATTTTCTATTTCATTTCCAAGCCTTTGGCAGCCTTAAACCTACTCATCTGCTGCTCTCTCTCACTTCATTTAACAGAGTACAAAGGGGCCATCGGAGCTCGGGAA